TAAACCTCTCCTGGCAGACCTTAAGATCATGTCCTCTTGTCCTACTGCTGGTTGCCTGGGAGAAGAGACTGATGCCCACCTGGCTACAACCTCCTTTCAGGGAGTTGTAGAGAGTGATGAGGTCTCCCCTGAGCCTCTTCTTCTCCAGGCCTAACAACCCCAGCTCCCTCAGCCTCTCCTCACAGGACTTGTGCTCCAGTCCCTTCACCAGCCTTGTTCCTCTTCTCTGGACCTGCTCCAGCACCTCAATATCCTTCCTGAACTGAGGGGCCCAAAACTGGACAGAGTACTCCAGGTGTGGCCTCACCAGCACTGAGTACAGGGGAAGAATCACTTCCCTGGATCTGCTGGCCACACTGTTCCTGATCCAGGCCAGGATGCCATTGGCCTTCTTGGCCACCTGGGCACACTGCTGGCTCATGTTCAGCTTCCTGTCAATCCAAACTCCCAGGTCCCTTTCTGTCTGGCTGCTCTCCAGCCACTCTGTCCCCAGCCTGTAGCGCTGCAGGGGGTTGTTGTGGCCAAAGTGCAGGACCCGGCACTTGGCCTTGTTGGACCTCATCTCGTTGGAATCAGCCCAACTCTCCAGTCTGTCCAGGTCCCTCTGCACAGCCCTCCTGCCTTCCAGCAGATCGACACTTCCCCCCAACTTTGTGTCATCTGCAAATTTGCTGATGATGGACTCAATCCCCTCATCTAAATTACTGATAGATATTAAACAGAACATCAATAAGAGATAAACCTTCAGGCTTAGTGTGAATGTCCCCGGGGGGATTATCACAGCTGAATCATCTGTGTAAGAAAAAAGAAACACTACCCCATCTTGCAGGGTTTGCCCCTTTCCTTACCTTGTTTAACACCCAGCTTGTAGCCTGAGGTGTCAGATGTGCACATCTGCAGCCCCTGGCCTGGTGTCCACTCTGCACATTGTTACAAAGCACACTGCTGATTAACCCATCAGCACCAATAGCCCAGTCTCTTACAGCCCCTGGGCTGTCACTGCAGGTGGTCCAAAGTTTGAGTCATTAATCACTAGCATTCAGTCTCTCTAAAGGCGGCAAAGCACCAAAACACCAAAAAGGCATATTTGGGGAAAAGGTGGATACCAGAATTTCTGTGTAACCCAGAACATCCTATCACTACAGCTCCTGGTGAATATCCACCTATGTAATTTTGAGTACTCAGAGAGAAGTCTTCTGAAGAAAATGCTTCAGTGTTGCTTTAAGAAAAAAACTAAAGCTTTTAAAAAAAGAACACCCTAAAAATGGGAAGTTAATGAATTATCCATGAGCTTTTGCATAAGAGCAAAGGGTGTCTGTGACTTTAAACGTTTTATATCACCTTGTAGACAAACACTGTTTTCCAAAGTCGGTTATGTGGTGAAGAAGATATTAAGATTAAATGAGCAGTGCAGAGCTCAAAAAGCAAACCCATAATTATTAATAGATATTCAAATTGTCAGGCAATCGATTTTTAAATTGTCCTTTCACCGTTGTGTGTAATGTGGTTTGCCTCAAAGTGATAAATTAGCAGCAGCACTGTGCTGTGACTGTTTCTACTAGAAAGTTCTCATTACCATTCAGAGGTTTTGCTGGCTCGTCAGTGAATCGTGGATAGCATTTTGATTGCTGAAGTGCGGCCCAGAAAACAGAAAAAGGATCGGAAACAGAGTCTGTAAAAGCCTTTTCTTGAATTCTAAGATTGATTGAGTTCTTGAATAGGACTAACTTCTTTGGCCTTAGTGTTACTATTTCTCATGAATCTCAGAGGAATTGATAGAACATTCACCCCCCCTCCACTCCTCTCTTTAAATCGTAGTATTCTTGTTAATCTGTCAGGAAAATAAGAACATTAACATGTAATGGACCAAATGTGCCTTTTTTTCCTTAATTGAAAAGAGTGTTCCTCTTAATCCCACTAGCACAAGGCTGCAATCTAAGGTAACATGACCCCAAGGAAGGCAAGCAAATGTCTGCACCAGCCAACCCTCTATTTAGTACTGTATAGTCTCCCCACATTTAGTTTCACATAGTCAGATACTGTCTGATGGTTTGAGGTTAACAAGAACGTGGACTGTTGTGGATGTCTGGAACAAAGGAATGAATTTCTCAGCAAGCTAACCAGGGGAAGAAAGTATTTTGTCTGTTGATGCTACCCAGCCACCTAAAGATTCAGCCAGCACTTCAGGGACTGGCATGATGATGCCTTTGATGGAAGCTGGAGGTATTTTCTTGGTTAAGTCTTCTAAGTGTTTATCTTTGCTTACCAGCATTTCTCTACTACTGTCCAGGTTTATTCAGCAGAAAATTTCCTGAAACCATGTTGTCATTTCAGCAGTGATAGTACTTGCAGCACACGAGTGTCAGTGGCACGTTATTAAATCTATCTGAACCCTCTGTGCACCCTTTTCATTTGCAGTGGACTAAGAGAAATACTAAAAGGCAAATCACTCTGTGTAGATACCTCTACAGGCTGCAAATAAGAGAAAAAGGAAAGAAGCAGTACTATCGAGGACAACAATTGTGACTATTGTAAGATGAAGCTGTTACTGTCAGATCGTCTTCCTCCTGTTCGTGGTTGTAATACCAGACATGGCAAAGGTTCTTGAGATGTGCAGCCATACAAGAACAGAGATCTTACCCATGTCTGCAGGAGACATTGTAACATCCGTATACAGCACAGTGGTTATGCAGTTGGAGCTTGGAGTTCACTAGTCACTTAGCTGTTTATTCAAGATGAATTATGGGGCTCTAGAATGAGCTGAAATTCACTTCAGGGTCAAGTTTGTAAAAGATTTTAAAGGTCCAGTATTGGTTGGTTTGGGACTACTTCACTGCCAGTAGATTAGAAAGAAATGTTCCCCTAAAGGAGCCACTACTTGTTTCTGCTTAGGGGAAGCCGCTGTCAAGGCAGCCATCTGAACCCTCATATAGAAGCAGTTCTGACTGTGAATGGGTATTGGTTACTTGATCTGAGAAGCCATAAGCAGCTGTAAGCTGTGCTGCCCCATGTCTTCCTTGACTGCAAGTGTATCCAACAACTGTGTTTCAGCAGCACTAACAGGATGAGCCTTGGACCTTTGCACTTTTTCAGTCACTGATCTCAGTTGCTGATCACTGCAAGCAAAGAAGCAATTAAATATGAAAAGGTTGATCTGGGGTGTCAGTCCTGTATGATACTGAGCATGCCTGTACATTGTTATGCCCCAGCTGGTCATAGTTGAGGGCACTCAGCATCTTGGAGGATCAAACCATGGAGTGAAAAAAACCCCAACACTTTTAATCAATAACAGAGACAGAAAGAGTGGATTTATTATGAGTACTGATTGAACAACCATGTTAAGAGTAATTGAGGACAAGATCAGAGAGATGAGGAAACTTTCATTTCTTGGGGGCTGTTGCTCTAGGACACGTTTTATTTACAGTCTCCTGCCAGAAAAAGAATCTATTGGCTCTTGGTATGTTTCTGTTTGACCACACAGACTGCTCTGATAGCTGCAGTGGAAATGAGGGTGAAATCCATGTATTTGAGATTGCCACTGAGTGCCAAATACTGGAGTTGTTTCTCCCTGGCTCACAGATATGTGTGCATATCTGTGCCAAAAGGCAGATTTGGTCCATTACATGTTAATGTTCTTATTTTCCTGACAGATTAACAAGAATACTACGATTTAAAGAGAGTGGTGGAGGGGGGTGAATGTTCTATCAATTCCTCTGTACAAGGCAGGAACTTGAGAGCAGTTGCAGTAGCTACAATGTGAGTGGGAGAGATGAGAACTTAGTACTGTCACTAAAAAGCAGGTGACAGCTCAGATAAGAACAGAGAAGCAACACTACAAGTGTCATGTTTTTAGTCTTAAGATAGTGTTTCTTTTGTCATTTAACAGCATTTACAGAAAGATATTCCTTACAACTTTTCTACATCATTTTTATCATTCTCTGGTAGCTATATTTGAGTCATCTTTATAAAAACTATTTGAGGTGCCTAGAGGAGATAATTACAACTACAGATGTGAATTAAAAGGAGTAATAAACTCTTAAAATGGAACTTCATGGTTTTCATGTGAATAATTTGACAGTAATACATCAGGAAAATGAAAGAAGATGATGTAAAACATAGGTGTAAAGCAAAGCCCTCCTAATAAAAGGAAAAGAATTGCTGGGCAAATCCAAGTAGAGTGATACCACAAAAGTCTCCTGGACTGAGTTCTTCACTCTGTTGTAAACAATGAAATAGTCATCACAGAAAGGACTGTCATTCATTCTGGAAAAGGAGACTGCAGTGCAAGCTGTTGACTTTGGTGAATTATTTTGTAAAATTGTCCAGAAGAGATAAGAAAGAATTGGATGAGAAGAAGAACTCAAACTAAAAGAAAAGATGTTGGACATATTCCATAGTGTCAGCTGCCATCACACCGTCATGATGGGAGTAACCAATTTATTTATTGATATTGGAGGTGCCTTCATAATGTATGTTCCAGTAGCAGGTTCTGAATACTAAAATGACAAAGCACCAGTCTCTTATGGGTTCACACTTTCAGATGTTGGTCTCCACAACTGTGTAAATTCAGAGTGAGAAAGTGTTGGCTCCTTTCACCCTCTGAGGTATTGCTCCACTTTAAAACCATGAAGGTTCCGACCACATTTCACCTGGCCCTTCTCTGATAGTGGCCAACAGCAAGTATAGGGAAGAATACAAGAACATGTAGCATTTTTCCCACATAACTTCATAAAAACACTTGGCCTTCACCCAGAAACTTCCCTCAGATTGCAAGTACAGCATATTAGCATTACTATGAGATGGGTTTGCTATGATGATGTTATGAAATTAACAGCCTGAGTCCTCTAAACCCATTTTTCATGTATGACACCCACTCAGTCAATTTTGGGCTGAATATGGCATGTTATGAAAGGGTTTGTTATTATTCCAGTTTAGAGGTTTTCCACAAAAAGAGTAGTAAGTCAGGGTATTTAAATGGTCAGAAAGGAAAACCACGGAGCTCTATGGCAGAAATGAATTTATTTATAAGTTATGAAATCCAAAGTTATCCTTAAATACAAATAACATTAAAGTAAACACAAAACTTGTACCAAAGAAACAGGAGAATGATTAAATGAACAAGGTCATGCTGGAATCATGTGAATAGAAATCATGATTTTCTGTAATTATTCACTTACATTTAAAGTAAAACTAGGCCCTTACCCCTGCAATTTACAATACACAAGGAATCCAGAACTCTTGCCCCAAATTGTTGACAATCTGTTGTTTATTGTGACTCCTATGGGCTTAGTTTTAAAAATCTACGTCCAAATAAACCAGGATAAAATATTATTTTCTAATATTTTTCATTCAGTTGGCTTTTCCAATGCTCCGGTGACCATATCAGAATGTTTAAGCAACCTGTGTGACATATGTAAAAATATCTGAGTCATGAATATGCTAAATTTCATTCCAAAGAAAATCTATTCTCCAGGGACTTTGAGTTCAGCGTGGGTTAATAGGTAATCATGAAGATCAGAAGACTTATCCTTAATTCCTGATTGATTTAGATGCTTTAATAAAATATTGTTAATTTTCTTCAGCTCTTCTATGTTCTTCTTTTCAGATAGTAGTCTGCTTGATATTTGGTCCATCTTGTTTCTAGTTTGAACTTGAAAAGGAAAATGTACCACATTAAATTGGTAACATTTAAGTCAAGAGCATCACTACCCTCACTTGCATTCCTGTGAGAGTTTGTAGGGAATTATGGTGAACAAAAATATTAACCAGGAAAACAACTGCAGAACCTAATGATAAGAAGTTATATATTTGATAGGTTTACCTGCTCACTACATTCTTTAATTGTTTATTTTCTGTTTTGGGGTTTTTTTCACTTTAGTGCAGTGTAATAAAATAAACTATGGCTCAGATAATTCTGCAGTCTTCAGGAGCATATCTATTCCATTAGTTTCCCCAGGAAAATGTCTTATTTAGGAGCTCCAAGATCCTATTTGTGGTCAGTATGTGCATGCATTTCTCTAAAAGTACAATTACTGCACTAATTGTATCACAGGAGCAAAAAAAAAAAGCAAAGCAAACTACAGCCACATCACTGGATTTCTTAATCTTTTAAATTAAAGGAAAATTCTTGCAAGGACTGGCATTTGGAGGCCAGCCTCCTCAGCAAACAAATGTGCCAGAGCTATTTTTGTTTAGGCCTTCTGAAGTTAACAGAATTTACCCATGGGTTTTGCAGCTTAAGTCTAATAGTGTCAACGCTAAATGAATCTATGTATGTGGATTGCAAACATAATCTCAGATTATACAACATAACATATATAAACTGAAACACCACTGGAAATCAGTTTCAAAAACCACAGGCCTCCACCAACCTGAGCCCAAGCAAAGTGTTTTAATTCCTGTAAGAAGGCTTTTCACTGTTACTTTATCATTCTTTTACTAGAGTAGCACGTTACTCATTTTTCTACACCAGGGCTCTACTTCAGGCAGCTCCCTATTAAATAAATCTGAAATTCAAGTATAAGGTATTTCAGTTAGGATTTTACAATCACGTCACTTAAAATCTACTTTGCGTTCTTTACTTGTCTTATATTCCATTCTTTGAGTGCCTGTAAGAAAATTTAGTTAGCGTTAGAATTTCCCGTTCAAAAAGGAAAATTATGATTTTTGCTGTGTTCCAGTAAATTCCCCACTACAGGATATAAGAAATCTTGGTTTTGCATGGATTCCAATTCATACAAAATAGACTTTTAAATCAAAATAATGCACCTCATATTCTGTTCAATACTATTACTCAGAAAGCCCCATGATGACAAGGGCTCCATAAACCATATTCACTTGCAGCCATGTGTTTCACTAAGCCCACCCCATCAGTCCTAACGAAGTGGAACAGTAATGATGTCTACAGGCTCAATTCTACATGCAAATCTTCATATACGTTATCTAATTTTTTTTTCCTTATTTTTGAGATTTTCTTAGTTCCAAACAAACTTCCAGTCAGTACTTAGATGACAACCCTCAGGACCTCCTTCAGGTAGCCTGATTTAAGTGTTACTCTGAGTGTAATTCCAGTTTCAGTGGAATGACACCAATACTGAGTTTTATCTGTAAAGGAGTGAAAGGCACATTGTCAAAGTACCTCACTGCCATACAATCACCTTTAAATTTAAATTTCATTTCAAGTCAGCATTTTTAGCAACACAGTATAAGCCCCCTGATCTAAAGTCTTCACAGCTGCTGAAGAATAAAATTGTGCCTTTTAGCTCAGAGAGTGAGTTGTTTGCCTGTGCTTGTGCCCCCAGGACCAGGACCCACTGCCCATAAGCAGCCAAAGCCTTTGACCATGCAAATACAGCAGTAGCATGTCATAAGGTGGCATGACATGTATCATCAAAGTTCTTTTTCCCATTGGCTCTACATTTTTAAGAACCAGTCTTTGGTTTACTTACTTATGAAGAATATTACAAATGAAACAAGTGCCAAACTGATGATCAAAGTAAGAATAAAAGTGATGAAGAACAAACACTGATTTCCTGTGTTGCTCCCTGCCATGTTTTCTCCAGTGCCACCAGCGTTCTCCTCCTCATCTGTTAAGAGATGACAAATCGTTTGGTGATAAAGTTTGCTAAGGTTGGTTAAGATAAACATGACAAAATGCTTCTGGCTTCATGAAATGATGCAGAATACATTATAATTTTGGCCAACAGATTTTATTTCCAGTGATATTGCATGAGAAGGAAAGAAACCAACTTTATGTATTCATCTTGAATTTGGAAATATAAAAACTAATACATCTGTTATAACTGCTAGAACATATTCAAGAAAAATATTTCTGTTGATGAAATACACTGTTTTGTTGAAGTTGACCTGTTTTATGGTTCAGAGTTTTACAGCTGTTTTACATGTACAAAGGCTGCAATGAAGTTTCTATCCAAAGGCTTTCTAAGGGCTTGAATGGACTTAACTTTTCAGAAGAGATGAGAGAAAAATTTATATTGAAAACCAAGGTATGGATTCATCCTACACATTCATCCTCTGGATTTGCTTCTTTTTCTCTTTGATAATAGAAGTATATCTGGGATGATTAATCTTCCAAACTAAGCACCTCAGTTAAGCTCCTGATGTTGGATAGGATAAATGTAGGTCTTGACTGTCTTTAGGATTTGTTGCTTTCCTTCCAGTAAATAATGAGGTACCTATTCTCCCAGTTGCCAAGAATTGAACAGACTTTCATATGGAATACATATGTCATCCTTTAAGCATGGGAAGAATGAGGGGAAAATAGGAAAAGCAGCTGCAATGGTGCCCTCAAATCAGCTCGACAAGCCAGTTTATTGCTATTTAAAGAATATGTTGTGTATAGGGAAAGTAAGTAGTTTCTCTCATAGAAACAGTTGCAATCAAATGTGAGTTGGCAATAAAGCCCAAAGATAACAAGTGAACACCATGTGGAAATTCATGTGAATATAAAAATTTTATACTTGAGATAGATTCATTTAATGTCAAGTTTACATACTACTGTAACTACTTACTAAGATTTAGTTTTATTTTCTGTTTGGGGGGAGGAGGAAGCTAATGGAATTTCATTTTCATGTCAGTCTCATATATGCTAAAATTACATGCAAAATACTATAATTTATCCTCCTGTAATTGCTGTTTTCTGAAAGGGAGAATAGCATGTGCATCTGTGAAAAATATATTTCTAAATTGTGTACTTGTTTATTTGTGGTGGAAGTCTCTGAGGTCTTTGCAACTGAGCCTGTAGCAATAGAACTGAGGGAAGGTTGCATATGCCATTATGGCACTATAATAATGACCCAACCTGAGGCTGAGCAATCCACTGAGCTAGTAGAAGATCTCTGGGAGTATCTCTAATTTTCTGTATTGTGTTTAACACACTCCTGCCTCTGAGTAAGCTGGAATGTTTTCATATTTGGGTTTTGAGGTTCTATTGTTATTCCCTTAGCATTCATAACAAATGCACCATATAGTAAGTGCCTGCACCAATATTGCTTTCTAATCAGAATAATAAGGAAGGGTGGGGCCTGCTACTGCTGCTTGTCAAGCATACTAAGCTATCAATAGAGGTCTCAAAAATGGTCTAAGCTCCGCCTAATGAGTGCTTCTTACTATTTCATCAGGCTGAACATCCCAGACTGCAGTGTTGTGTGGAATTGGTGAACACACATTCTTGCCAAACAGCAAACAGTGGGAACATTTAATCATCTAAAACATAAAGACATTACTGTTTTGCTCTTACTGATGCAGTCAAAATGTATATACAGTTTAAATAGCTTTTTACATCTCTCTGTTTTTCTGGCAAGAGAACCAGAATTTTACGCTGCTGAATAAGGCAGGTAAGGACTGTGAAAAAGTGATTTTATGTATTTAATTGTTGAGATAAGATATCTACAGAATCTCCAAGCTTAAAAAGTATTTTAAAAGAATAATCCTAGAAGGAGCCAAAGCACTTTACAAATTTATGAATAAAATACATATTAGGCTACCTTTATTTACTGCTGAAATATAGGGAGGAGCATGCATGCAATTATTCCAGAGAACCATATATGATTCCACAGAACCTTGTATATTTACCTGAAAAGTAAACAATACTGTCCAATAAAAATTGCAAAAGAGAGTGAAACAGTTACACCAAAAGGAGTTTCTTTGACATTAAAACCAAGGTATGCCATTGTCTCATTTTTTACTTACAGAGTGTCAATATCAAGATAATCTGCATATGAGAATTAAGTACTTTATGTCTAACATAGTTGCATTAAATGCAGAAACCAACACCTAATGCAACCTAGTTGCATTAGGAAAATATAGAGGACTTGGAAACAGATGTAAGGAGAAGGCATTTAAGTCCCATACCAAGAAGCATGATTAAGTTATGGCCATTTGAAACTAATTTCATAGTTGTTGATCTCTAGATTTCTTCAGCCAAATTTGCCATTATAATAAGGGAAATAAAAGCAGATTCAAATATTGTTATGTGGAATGCTGCTGAAGAGCTCCAGGTTTTAAGATATTTTCAGGTCACAAAGAACTGAAATATATTGTAGTTATCACGAGTAAAAATATTCTTGTTAATTAATTTAATAAATAATATTAAACCAGTAGAAGTGTAGGAGCCATACCTGAAACTGTAAGTAAAGAAAGTCTGTGAAGTAAAATGCTTAAAAGTGTCATGGGATATTTCAGATAACTGGTCTGAGTCTCTAGGAGATGTATCTTAAAGGAATGAACAGAAATTCTCTGGTACTTCTATTGCCATGTGTGAATTTTAGTGCTTGGAAAGAGTTACAATGCTATTTATCTAGTAGGTGTATGTTGAGCATTACTAGAGACATTATCCTGCAAGGGATCACCTCATAAACCCCAGTGGAGATGGAAAATAAGTTCAGGCTTGACAGTGAATCCCTAGCAAAATGCAAGGATTTTCAAGAACCTAATAACTTAAATACTCAGCAGGGAATCATTATCTGATCTGTCTAAATTAGGCCATTTTCAATCTTTTTCTTACATTATTTTCAGTAAAGAGCTTGACATACGTATTGGCCTGTTGTAATCAGTGACACATAATGTGGATTGTGTATATGGAAAACCATAGAGCATAACCTATCATACCTACCTAGTGAATGCTGGGATTCATCTGGACAAACATTTAGTTTGTTTAGGTTGTTTAAGGAATCAACTACATAAAGCTTTCCTTCTTCATGCGTATCAGGCAGGTTAATTTCCAAGGAAGGCCTCTCCATTGTACCTAAGGTAAAATAATTTAAAAGGTAATTTAACACATGGATATGGGAAATAACTGGTAACAGCTGGTGTCCTGTTCTAAGGAAACACTGAGCAGCCTAAACAACCCTTAAAATAAAGGAATTTGAAGGACCAGCACACTTACTTGAAGGGAAGGATAACTCAGTACATAGCACTTGTTTATTCTTGGAGATCTTTGATGAATATAGCATTTAATTTCTACACTGTGCTTGTGCACATGTGTATACTTATGCATACATACACATATGCATGTGTGTGGGGAAAGAGAGAGAAAAATCAGCCTGATTGGCTCCAGCATTGATTTGAATGGTACTCACTCAGTTGTATAACCCTTTGGTTTGGTGAGGTAAGAGGTAGGGTGAGATTCTGACAACAGTGAAAGACAAACCTTCACTGACAGGAAGGATGTCACTCAGGTCCTCTGCTTTCAGCATCAAATAATTTAGAGATAAGACAGAGAAATCAGGTATGGGTATACGAGATAAGCAGCAAGAATATCTGTCTGCTTATACACCGTAGAATAATATTGTGAAGTTATTATTTGTGAAAAATGGAACAGAAAAATTAGTCTTCTAAACTGGACAAATTCTGGACAAAGGTTGATGGCAAAGCCTTTTCTTCAGACTAATACTCCTTGTTTTAAAAAAAGCACTGGATGAGGCCCAAACTGCAAAAACAGTTTCTCTGTAGAGTCTGGGTGCATGAACTCAGTGAATGATTTTTTACACAAATACAGTTTAAAGGAATAATATATATAGAAAAGAAGCAATACCTAAGGAGGCTCCTCTGTGAATTGCACATTATTCCTTATCAGCCTTTTGGTTTTCTTTATGCAACTCTGATTCCAAAAATGCCTCCTAGAAACAAACAACAGTTCTAGCCATAAGGAGATGCAGATGCTCTAAGTAGGCAGGTTTGACTACACTTGTCACTGAAAACTCCCTCTGTAATTACTGAAGAAAAATACATTCCTCCAGGTAATATTCCTCTTATTCTAAGATACATCTTTTTGAACTTAGAATTGCAGCCTAAATGTATCTTTTTCTTGCCAGTGAATGTAAGGGGGGGAGCTCACAGAGACTAGTTTAGATTTGTAGTAGAATACATCTTACCATTTAGTATTTTATCAAAGCTCCCAAGTTCAGTTTTACCTGCCAACATAAATCAGCACTTCACGGGATGCAAACCTCTTATTGATGAAGGCTGTTAAGCACCTAAGGGTGATTTCTGAATCCTAGATGGGTTGAACTGCCCTCCTGATGTGCTTGAGCTTTCTTTCCTTCTCCGAACAGTACAGAACACAGTGTGACCAGATTCCTAATATAGCACTTAAATTAAAAACCTAAATTCTGAGAAATAAAGCCCTGAGTGTTTGCCTCAATAAGTCTGAAGACTAAGCACTTAAAGCACTCTTGACAATGGGGCTTGTTCTTCTGCTAGTGGAGGTTGACAGGACTACATGGATACTTTCATATTTCTGTTTAATAGCATGTAAGAACAGATTACAGCTTATTTTTTTACTCTGTTCAGACCTGTTGCTTCAAAATATAAAGAAAAGGTAGAAAAGCTGGCATAGTAGGGGTTAGCCTTACCTAGCATATGACGTTTAGGTGTGCAGCAGTAACTTCAGGACAGATGGCTGTGTCCACTGTCCTTCCTCTGGAAAATTACGTGGTGCCAGGCAGCACAGTCTGTGAACCACGTTCCCCCCAGCACTGGCTCTGCTCTGCTCTCTCCCCACGTGCACATCCGTAGCCAACTGCAATCACTACGGAGCCCTGCATTTGAACAGCATGCTGGAAGTTACCACCCTGTGCACAAAGGCTTTCGGTTATTTTTAGCTTCTGAAGAGCAGTTGTTTCTCTTGGGTATTTTGATTAGTACCTCCCTGCAACTTCAGGGAAGACTCTTCTTAACAACTTGAGCTGTAATAAGATTCATTAGTGGTACGAATTATATGTTTCTGCATTTACTGTTGATTTTTAAGCATTTGTGCATGTAACCACAGGGAAGATAACCATTATTAATGCAACAAAGTTTATACTAGATTTGTTTGATTCCATTGACATGACAAACAAAGGAGAAAGGATACATACATCAGTGTCACTGGCCAAAAGTATTGATTATTTTCCCAACAAACTAATGTAAACACTGAGGTTTTGAGATTCACTTTATCTTGTACTTAAAGACTTTTTCTCCAATCCAACTTTTAAATTTCTTTTTAAGCTGTTGTGGTAAAATTAGAACGCAGAATGAGAACACACGGAAAATGCTTCACAGAAAAAAAAATAAAATCTAAAAGGTTAAAAACTAGCAGAATGAAACATTACTTACAACATAATTATATTCAGTTAATGTGCCAGTATGGAAGAAATCAGCCAGTGAAAATCACATGAAGAAAACTTGTTCTGCAGTTCTTCTCTCTACTTTTAGACCCATAGGAACCTGTTGAGTCCTGCAGGACCCATAAAGACAGCTATGAAACAGACTGCCCCTTTCAGTCTATATTTAGCATTCAACTTGGCTAAGTGTACTGACTTCACAATATAGAACTGCTAAAAAAGAAATCAGCACATACACAGCTCTTTTTTATTATATTGGAGTCATGATAATATCCTATCATGGAGAATGAGGTTTGTTACTAATGATCAATATTTCACTGACCTTTCGGTTAGTGCCAAACCTTTTAGGTTTAATGCCTGTTTAAAACTCATTTGCTATGCAGAAGAGTCATATCTATGACACTAGCTATGAGCAACCAGTTTGCTATGCAGAAGAGTCATATCTACAGTATTGTAGTCATGAGTATTTTAAAGGCATATACTAGAAAAACCAAGGTCTTTTCCTCCTTCTCCCATATGCCTTACAAATTCAAGTGGGACATTATCACGGAGTGGACTAATTTATATGCCATCCTTAGTTGTTTAGAGATTAAATTCTGAGGAAGTGTTGGTGAGTACTGTAATTGCTCCTTTGCCAACAGTTCTTTTGATCACTTTTTTCCTTGCTGATGTTGCAGAAGGTAATGTTACAGCATGCTGCACTGACAGGCAGCTGATGCTTACACAGAGGGACTGCAGCTCAAAATAATAAATCCTTTCTAAAGCCATTCTATGTCTAAAATTCTGAACTCCTTTAAACTGACAATAAACACATCTTTCAGGAAACCGAGAGAACAAACCTGACTTATAGGTCCTCTGTGAAGCTCTGCCGCTGCCCAGTCTGAGTAGCTGGGCCAGCAACACAGATGTAACAGCTCACTACTTTTCTGTGGGAGTCTCCAAGAAGTCCTTCCTCTAAATAAGGATCTGCAAGCCAGAAAAAAATCCCCTCACTTCCATTCCCAAAAGAGTCCTGACACCAACATAACTGTAAGACAAGGACCCAGGCCTCTCCAGTTTTAAGCTTGAAAAGGTCTACAAACCCATCCGATCTCTGCAGGGCAGCAAAACAGCCTGTCTTTCCTCCAACATCTCCTGGAAGCCATCCTGGTCGCTATGGTTGGCAGCTACTGTGTAACAGGGGAAAGGGCAAGCACATGCTTGGCCACCTGCCAGGAACTGCTGTAGAAATACTGGACAGGAAACTATCTAAAGTGTTCCTTTACATGGGCAAAGGATGCCAAAGGTGACTACCCAGAAGCCACAGGAGAGGCCAGGGAACAGTTTAACTCAAAGGGGACAGACTTGGTCTGGGCACACACAAGCAGACAGCTGCTTCTAGTTCAAGGATCAGAAGTTTCTTCTTCACTTGTGTGACACTGACAACACTTGTTCATCATACTGCAGATTTCAGTTGAAGACCTTGATTTGGAGTCAGTGATCAGTTTTGTAAGCCAAGCAAGTTGTTACATAATTGATTATCTGAGGGGAAAAAAGGATAACTTAGAAGGTAAAACTCATTTGTCTATACAAATTTTCTGGAATAGGTTCTGCTGTAACCAGAAACTTGAAGGAGGGAGGACAAACAAACAAAAAAAACCAAACCCCCCTGAAGAAAACAAACCCAAAACCAACCAACTAACCAACAAACCACCCCACCCCAAACCAAACTTTCCCTTATCAGAGCAAGCAGCAGTTCTCAGGGGCTGGTGAGGTTTTTTGATGCAAGGTTTACTTCCTCTGCTGATAGCCTGACCTACCATTTTGAGAATGTAGTAGAGGAACAGCTTTCAACATTACAAACACAGGGGAGCTGGAAGGGCCTCCTGTAAGATAAGGGACGAGGTCTTTTGCAACACCAGAACTAGAAAACATTTGGCTATTACAAAAACAGTGACAAATGAGGAGTAGGCTGTTGTGCAAGACCACATGCAAGTAAGATACACCTTTGAAACACAGCAAGAAAGACCGTCATGTAGCATCTACTAAACCTCTGAGACTAACACAACCACGTCTGAATGGGCAAAAAACCAAAGCCATCTGTTTCAGCCTTTAGGTTTTGCTGTTGTTGCAGCTTTTCAATCATGAAATAATCACTTTTACACAGAGCGCAACCAGTGAGAAACATCTTTATTGCAAAAATTAAATATCCAATTTCAGAACACAAAAATCTTGCTTTTGTTTTAAATTGAGGCAAGTATTTGTCATTCACTACTTGTCTGTCAGTAGAGGTTATTAAACTTCATAGTCCCTGTCAGGATAAAATCATAGAAACATAAAAATTTCTTTGTCCATCTGCCATTGAAGAGTTAAAAAGTTACTCAATTTCACACAAATATGGTTATCTTTTCATATTAGCACATTCTTACCAAAACACTTGATCCATAAAGTAATTTACCTTTATATGAAGAATCCAATCTGACTACAGTTATCCACCCCATTTAACATTTCAGTTAAAATATATTCAACCTTTGGAGCAACTGGTGGCTAATGCAAATGATATAATGTATCCCTGCTCCAAATGTTACATCAATATATATACAGTGTATATGCAATGAAGCAACAACATGCATTATTATATTTACAGACTTTACATAACATCCTTGTGCACAAGTGCAAACTATGACTACAGAAGTTAAAAATTCATTTAAATGTTACAAATTTATTTTACTTATGAAAATTGAACCCCATTGAAAATGAGATCTAGAAAAATTCCCCCACATCTGCTCTTTTATCACGACATTTACTTCTAGCCTTTGTCCGAGCCTTGAATGCTGCAGAGTTGTACAAGTGCTACAAAATAAAAAAAGAAAAATTTATTACAGATGTTCATAAGGCTTATGCTCTTCAGAGATTTTTCATGTTACAAAACAGATGAAAATATCTTTTTATTAATTTTTGAAGTAAATTGGTAGACTTTCAGAAATTTATAGCATACTACCCTTGAACCAAAGGCTGATTCATTTTCATACATATATATACACATTTAAAAGAAACTTGGTTTGTATAAGAAAGGCTGAGCTACAAGCAATTCTGGAAGCCTGCCAGTTTTGAACATCATACAGATACAATGTAGGTTAAATTCACCCCTAGATTAAACCTGGTAGCACCATTGCTCAAATTATATGCAGGATGAGTACATTCACAAGCAATAGACCAAAGTCATCCTCCTAGTGTCCATTTTACACCGCAGAGTTTGGGATACTGTCTTTATAAAGACTCTGTTTCCATGGTTTCCTGTAGGTCCCTCCCTGAAAACCTGCAGCTGTCAAAAGAGACCAAGTTTCACATGTGTGGAGTGTGAATCTGGTACCAATCAGCAACCATGTGAACCTTCAGACCCTTGGGAGAAGCAGTAGCAGACACATGCCCAGTGGAAAACCTAACTAAGAGCTCAAAGGCACATACAAACAAGGTTGGGTTTCATTCAGGACAATGAGGCATTGATAGAACTAAAGCAACAAGTTTAACGACAACAGCTTCTGAAGTGCAGCAGAAATGTATCAGTGCATGAAGCAAAGAAAATTCATTAAGGTGCAATAACCTACCCTTTCAAAACGGGATATCTTCATTGTTTTAAGAGTGGCAGCATCTAGCATTACTGGTGGACCGAGCTCAAACACATTCCGAAGGAAGTCATTTGACTAAACAAGAAACACAAACAATCAATTTCTCCTCTAATTATCAAGTCTCCAAAGTTGACTACTGTTAAATATGAAGTATTCCAGTAAGAAATAGTAGGATTTGTGTCAACTTGCTGCTGTTTTTTGCAATTACGTCAAGAGCACTTCCTCTTTCAATCAGAATAAGGTTAAGAACAAAAACTGCCCCCTTGAGAAGGCAGAGAGAACTCCCCCTGCCTCTATTGATTTTTTTGTCCCAGCAAATGAGGCAACTGTTCTGTTCTACACCAGATCAGGCAGCTGAACACTGATCCATATGTTTTTGCAACACAGCAGTTTTAAAATAAAAGTAGTATTTGAAAAAACTGAAAAAGGTGCTACATGCCTGCTGCAAGTCCCATAAAAATGCAAGTGACACTGGACCAAGAACTTTAACCCCATGATTATCAGAGCAATTTGGGAGCATATATTACTAAGGTATATACGTAGCAGAAACAGGAACTGTAAACAGATGACTAGTAAACAAGCAGTTCCCAGAACAGAGATAAGGACTTATCTCTTCTCTTCTGGAATGCTCTCATCATTGGGGTGCAAATTGTGTTCACTATTTTTGACTGAAACTTTGCCTTCCTTCTACAGGCTCAAAAGGGAAGGGTGGAGGCATGCAGCTTTATAGCAGCCAGATGACCACACCACTCTGCTGAAAGAAAGCATAAGGATTCAGCAAAAACTCTGAAGCTAAAAAGATATCCAGCTTAAATCTCTTACTTCTTGGAGAAGTCAACTGCTAACCCAGCTACAACTCCGAAGCAGCTCACCCAGACAGTTCTGGCTCACCACAGTTATTTCTTTAAATGCTATCTTTTAACACTCCAAATGCAAAGCTCATCATTTCACTAAGTTCTACTCAGGATTTTGTAGTTCAGTCTGAATTACATCAAAGAAGCCAGATAGTAAAGAAGAGTCTGAGCATGTGTCCAAGACCAGCTCACCTGCAAATGATATTGCATTCCCGACCCCAGGATCTCCTTGAATGTATCATAAGTTTGTTTTTTAACCCAGCAATCAATATACATGCGCTCAGGTCCAAACTTAACCATCTCTGTAGGAAAGTCACGCTCCTATCCAAAAATCAAAGGAAACAACACATATAATTTTAATTTAAACATTGTTTTTTACTAGGAATTTTATAGATCTCAGGGAACTTTATTTTCATTGATAAATTGGGCACACTAAAAAACTTTCCACACAACATAATATGCATATACTAAAGATTGTATTTGTTCATAAAAATGGAAGCACACCTGAAGTTAAATCTCATGTAAAACTTGAAGCTGATATTCAAGTTAGAAAGCATTTTTTAAAAGAAAACCCCTTAACTTTCATCTTTAAAATTACTTTAAGAATTAAGACCTATCTCCAGAAAAAACAGTTCTGAGTGCAGCAGTCACCTTTAAGTCAATCTGTAAGCCTCATTTAGTCCCCATCTTACAAGTATGAGGAGCTACATTTGGGACAACGGAATGTAACAAGTGCTAACAGATGACTCAGATTCCTCTACAGGCAGAATCTTAAATGTGACTTCAAATCCTGCCAAGCATTCTCCTTCGCTATCAAGTTGTCTAACTATTCTGAATATCAACTAATATTTATTTGCTCTTACCCATACAGAAGTGAAATAATTATCTGACAAGCAAAAATAAAAATCAAGTTCCAGAGGTGTAAGATAACAAGATAACTAACCATGACAGCAAGTTTTAGAGTTGTCTTAGAGGCTTACTCAGTTATGTCACTAATTAAGTATTTTTAGCATCTTGCTTTGTGTGTTATTCGCATAATCTGGATATGCAAACACAGAAGATTATGGTACTACACTTAGGACAACAACTCCCCCTCTCATTCACGAACGCTTCTATGGCCCCTGACAGGTATCACTTGTGATATACCTTACTAAGTTACTTTTTGTCTATTAAGCACAACAGTCAGTAAGATTTTACAATAGATCTTTTCACAGAATTCAGGACACTATTTGGATGTCATACAAAGTTTTCTATGAAAAAAATTCTGCTCGTGGTGTAAAATAAAAGAGAATTTAGTATTTACAGTGCAATGTTTAGCCTTCTTTAAAGAAAAAGAGACCTTCTCTATATGAAAGTCAAGGTTGGAGCAAAACGATTACTTTTTGTTCTAATATTCCTAAAAAAAAGCAGTTCTATTTCACACAAGTGATCAGAATTTGAAATCTCATTTCAAATTTTCCCTCTTGTTTTCTGAAATAGTAATACTGTTTGATAATAAAACTTTTTCCCTAAATTGTATTGCCATACTACATACTGGACTGTAACTAAAACAAAAGAATCACCTCAACGGCCCGTAGAACGTCTCTGAAGACAGACCGCTGCTTTCTTTTATCCACTTTGGCCCGGTGCTTGTTTCCATCAGTAGCCAGAGCTCTTAGTTTCTCTGTTAGAAGGTCCATATCTTCATAAAAGAAATCCTAGTTTAAAAAAAAAAAAAAAAAAGGTGTTTTTTTTTTGGTTGGTTGGTTTTGATTTTATTTTGGTTTGGTTTAGGGTTTTTTTTGTTTTGTTTTTTTAGTTTCTAGCTTAAACCTCTTCCTCTGCAAATAAGAAAATGGATCTCCAAATTTTGGGCACGTAGATCTCTACAGCCTCTTACTTTGTTATTTCAAGGAACAGAAATGGCACTCCTGTAGTTCCATTTGCAGTGTTTAAGCCAGTAAGAACAAAGTCACAGCACCCAGTTTACCAAGAAGGGCACTAACGAAGTCAACGTTGGTAGTCAGAGCCACATGAAACTGTACAGCTCCTTCACTGTGCGTATACACCTGTAAATCTGTTCTGCTCCATAATTCCAAGACACTCAAACTGAACCTGCCTGCCACTCCTGACAAGCTGAGGGCACTTCAATATTATTAGCACACAATTCATGCTGCTGGAGACAGATTGTGAAATACCATTAGACTGATGGTAAGGAGTATTTAGCTATAAGTCTTGTATGGAA